TTCGACAATAAATTTTGATCCTAAGTTGAGTAAAAACTTTTGGAAAAATATGAAGACTGGAGAGAAATATCGAAGTTGCTAGAAACATTTTAATCAAATTCAAATGTTTATTTTTATGACAAACAAATGAACGATTTGAATGAATTGTTTTGGATCAAAATTTTTGCATCCTGAATTGATTGGTATCGTTACTTGAAACAAAAATAATTACAAATTACATTACAAAATAATTACAAACCTTTTCAATATTTCCAGTGGAATACAGTAACTTTAATATTAGGGTAATTATATTGATACTGTAAAAATGCTAAAAAATAAAATATACAATAAAATAAACGAAATGAATAATTTTATAATTCGAACTAAGCGAAGCAAAGAAGAAAGTCTAAATGGAATAGAAAATCGGTAATATTTGTTTTTTGTATTCTTTTCGATATATGTTTCCCACATATTCGGAATTTTCTCGACATTGAGGATATTACCGCGGGTTTCTCGTTTATTATATAAATCAGTAAATATGATGTGGAAAATAGTTTTGTAGAGAACGAGAATGATTTACGATTTTTTATGTTAGAATTGAACAGAAACTGATCACTTCTTCGTCACAAATTTTCCTCGAAAAGCGATGGCGAGCAAATTTTCTACTACTTTTTGATATGTGATAGAATAATTTGATTTTGATTTTGGTATCAGCATATTGTTATTGCTCTTATCTGATGAATATGATGATGATTATTTGACTGATAATTTGTGAACATTAGTAATGTATTCTTTGTTGACGAATTGTTTGCTAAAAAAACTAATGGTGGGAAGATAATTCAGATCACAAATTTAGTTTATCGCTACGGTATCATTGTAAAGATAATGAATGAATAGATAATAAATGAATAAAAACTGCCTATATTTTTTTTCGTTATTTTTTCATTTGTTCGATTCAGGGTTAAAGGTAAGCGAAACTTCAAAAGACAACCACAACTTAAATTTTCTCCAAATTATAGTTATTCGAACACTTCTCTTCCATATACTTGTTTTTGTTCATCAATGGAGTTTTTGTATGCACGTGGTCGTCAGTTGCGTAAAATTCTTTTGTAAGTTTTGAAATCGATTTTAAGCAAGGAAAATTCTCCTTTTTTGAGCAATCATCACAATTCTCCTACGATTACTTCGTGCGCTATGCATAGCGAATGGTGTTAATTAATTCTTCGGAAAAAACGCTTAACCTCTCACTTTAGGTTGACCTTTTGTATTGACTTTCTATTGTTCAGATGGAGTTAACTTTCTTTAATGAATGATGAATAATGATCATTTTTAATTAGATCAAATGGGAGAAAATAGCATTATGAAGAGAGTAATTGAAAGCATAATTCATTTCCTTCTTCTCTTTAATTACTACTAAACCCCCGTTTCACCCTAACTTTGAGAAATCCTGGTGTATCGGGTTCGAAAGCACCATTTGGCCATACCTGAAACGCTGATTTTCATGAGGGCACTGTTTTATCATACAAAGAGGTGATGATTACCGTGATATGCTTGATCACGACAAATCGGAATGGGCTTGTTTCTTCAGGGTAAGGCTTCTGTGACATGTGTACTTGTATGTAGGCGTGAACGCTTCACTTCCCGACATTTTTATGCAGCTTTGTAAATAAAGGTTTGGGATGATTTATTCATTATATCAATATATTAAAGTACATGAACTGTGTTATACTTGTTTGAAATATTTTAGTAAGTTACCATTCATAACTAGCAACATTTCCTGTTTAACTAGAAAATTTAAGCATACTCTCTAAATATATTCTTATCACTTTTATGTAGTTGAATAAAACTGTGGCATACTTTAACGCTTTTTATCATGAAAAGCTGTCACCAGTATCCAACATTCTGCACAGAGCTTCATTTTTCTTCTGCACGTTTACAATTTACACCGATCTACGAGAAAAAGAGAGAGGGAGTAATACAAGAGTAGAAAAAAATCAAGATGATAATATATATGCATTGCTTTCTTATTCGAGATTATTTCCATTGTAATGTATTTAAAAAGCAGCAGCAACCATTGCATTTGAAATTAACGGAAAGATTATGTGCCATATTTATTGGTATACATAGTTTTCCCATCCGGATGGTTTGCTTTATCCTAGTAATTTGTGGTTGAGGTGGGGATGATGTGCCGTTATCATTCAGGTAATGTGTGTTTCGATCTCGCATTGACAATTTGTACGATTTGTATGGCACAATAAGTATAAGTGGAATGGATTCAGGAAGTGAACCGCCGGTAAACTTCTCTTCCGAACGGCGATTTTTATCTCTGACATCTATCGTGGAAAACAAATAGTCGACTCATCCGACGAAGGTATACTATCTCACAGGGTTCCTTCTTTTTTTATTTCTTATTCTTTCTTTTTTTTTATTCTGGATTCAATGTGATATTGAATTGTGTCATAGAATATTATCCAGAATGAACTAATTCTTCCGCGCTGGTATTTCCGAGAAATGACGCGCAGATTTCCAGTAATGGTGATTTTCCTTGTGGAAATGTATTTAGAGTATTATTTCATTTCCACTAATATCCTAGTTTGATTTTTTATGGCATATCGCATAGAACAAAAATGTTTTTAGCCTGAGGATTTCTACTATATTTTCGCATAATTTTCCATTTTTCAGATCGGGTTTATGTTTGAGTGTTGATAAAAAGACAGTGAGTAGTCACTGTAAACACGGTGTAATATTGAAAACAGCTTTTTGTAACGGGAAAGCTTTTAGTTGCAGGTAAGAAATCAATGGCACCAGAGAATTGCATGAACTCAATATTTCAGGTGGCGTAGAGGCGAATGGTAAGAAGTGCTCATATTTTCGAGATACTGTTTGGCAGAAGACTACGTCGAACACATGATGGAACCACAATGGCTTGCTGTGAAGCCAGCGTTCATCATGCAGTTATCGTCATTTTCCTCGAATATTTCGCCTGGGGATTACTTACCGTACCAGTTATTAATGTTCGTATTTATTTATTTATTTATTAATATCATTTTTCCTTCGTTTTTTTTGTCCATTCCGACAGTCATCTCTGTGCTATAGAAACAAAATAGGATTCATAATGGATGTAACATTTCTTCATATGATGTTGGGGTGCCAATGAATCATTCAAGCTTTTTTATAGAAAAGCTATCTTGAATAGTTTATAAGTGATAAAACATTGAACAATTTATTAGTGATGTAATAAACCATAGATATATAAATAAATTACGATCTTCAAATCTATGTTGGACACGTTATCTGATATGATAACAGTTGCTCTAAGAGCAAGATGGCCTAACAATTGTCATTGATAACATATTTGACGGATGTAATAGAAATTTTTAATTCATTGTCAAAATTTTCAGGTGCTAGCTGATACCTTCCCTACAAATAAATTTTTAATGAATGGTGTGATTCTTGGCATTAAAGGTCTGCTCTCATTTCTAAGTGCGCCGTTGCTTGGTGCGATATCGGACAAGTGGGGACGCAAATCTTTTTTGCTGCTTACTGTATTTTTCACATGCATGCCTATACCGTGCCTTAAAATTAGTCCATGGTTGGTAATTATTTATTGTCTTGTATTTTTTAATAAAAAAATGAGAGTCGAAAGGATATGAGGGATAATAAAGATCAAACTTTCCTTTTTTTGTATCATGAATTCATCATTAGAAGACAAACTTTACAAAAAGAAAGCGTCGATGTGCAGTTGATGAAATTTGCTGTTTCAGGTGGTACTTTTCTTTGTTTTCAATTAGTGGTCTATTTTCGATAACATTCAGTGTTGCACTTGCATATGTAGCCGATATCACCGATAAAGCCGATCGTTCAACTGCATATGGACTCATTTCTGCCACATTTGCAGCATCTTTAATTACGTCACCAGCACTTGGAGCATGGATTTCAGATTCTTGGGGTGATAATAACGTCGTTTTACTTGTATGTTTATCGTTTTAATTTTGGTACTGTTTAATAGGTGGGGCTGATTATTGATTACAGCTTGTTCATAAACTGTTTCCGATTAATACAGTATATTAAAATACGAAGAAGAAAAAGAAAAACTAGTTTGATCATAATTAATAGTAATTGCAGGCTACAATAATTGCAAGTCTGGATGTGTTATTTATATTACTGGTAGTGCCAGAATCATTACCTTCCCGTAACCGTCGAGTAGTAGATGCATTTCGTTGGCAGAGAGCGGATCCGTTTGCAACATTACGAATTGTTTGGGAGGACCGTTTGGTACTTCAGTTGGCTACTATTATTTTTTTAAGCTATCTTCCAGAAGCTGGTCAATTTTCATGTTTTTTCGTATATCTAAAACTTGTCATTGGTTTCACTCCGGAAGCAGTAGCCGTTTTCATCGGTTAGTGATCATCGTAATAATTACCCTATCTCATTTTTTTATTTTGATAGAACTGAAACAAATTGTTTTACTCATGGTAAAATTTCGATTCCATGTACGGCTTTATTTGGCTAGTATACAGTATTCTAACCATTTGCATTCTATAGTAATGCATAGGATCAAGGTAATGCGTAATTTGACATGTCAGATGTTCAGCGATAGATAATCCTAAACATACGGAACATGTGTTGGATTGTCATACCACATATTAATTCATTTTCCAGGAATTGTTGGTATATTATCTGTTGTTACTCAGACAGGCATACTTTTCCTTCTTACTAGTACTGTTGGCACAAAGTATACAATAACTCTTGGCCTATCTTTTCAATTTGCTCAATTACTATGGTCAGTTTGAGAAACGGATTATTTTGGAAAAGTTTCATAATATGCATTATTATAATGCGTAATTGACATGTCAGATGTTCAGCGATAGATAATTCAAGGCAAAAACCATATATCGCTTTTTTTGGTATATATTAATAGTGTTTTCAACATTTCAAACAATTGTTCAGGTATGGTTTGGGTACGAAATGTTGGATGATGTGGGCTGCAGGTGTGTTAGTGGCGATGAGTCAGTTGATTTATCCATCAATTAGTGCATTTGTTAGCATACACAGCGATCGTGATAAGCAAGGGACTGTACAGGGTGTTATTACTGGTGTTCGTGGATTATGTCAAGGTTGTTGCTTTGAAATAACTTCAAAAACCGTTAATTATAATTTATCGAGTTTTGTGATCAATATGATTTTCTTCAAAATTTCAAAAAAAAAAGCTTTGAGAATTTATAAAAATTAAAGCCAGTTAGTTTACCATGTTGGGTTTATAAATATAGAGAAATCGAAAAATGTTAAGGAGAAAACTAGCGAAATTTTAAACACTTCTATCCTTTCATTCTTTCTTGGCTTTCTTTCATAAATAATCTCTTAGGCTTGGGTCCAGCCCTATTCGGTTTTATATTTTATTTGTTTGACATGGATTTAAATGTGGATAATGATGGTACGGGTCATATTGGAATACCCCCTTTTCCGGCGCCTCGAATACGAATTCAGCCAATCATTTCACCACGTCGAAATGCAACTTCCATTGAGAAGCCGGCATTTAATTGGGTAAGTACTGCTAAAGTTCTCTGAGGTACAAATTCTGTTATGAAAACTATAAAAATGCTGTAAAATTCCAGGAGGTTGCTGTTGCTCTCATTTGCAGCGATTAAAAAAAATTATAAAGTAAATTAAAATAATTCCAGAAGTTAATCCCAGGGCCGCCATTTTTTTTTGGATCGTTAATGGTGCTACTCGCCTTATTTGTGAATTCATCACTGCCAAGGGTAACGTCTGTGAATACACGATTCTTCCGACGCCCAAGCACTACACATAGTCGACAGTCATCAGATGATGCTTCTCATTTACTTCAGAGCTCATAACTCTTCCTCATAGCATCGCATCATAAATTGAAATGAAATATACACATGATTATGGAAACATTTCTATGACTATTTAATTACCGTAGTGCATGTCTTGTTTTTCATGAACCTTGCATTTATTTCTTAGAAGTTGCTGAAGTTATGCATAATGCAGCAAGTGGCTGTTATTGGTTACCAATCTATGCAAGTTTATCTCAACTAAAACTAGGATTTTGTGGGAGTGATATGTGCAAAATGCCGTTGTTCGATCTCCAATTGTTGTGACATTGATTCGCATATTTATAGTACCTTCCGAGCCTGTCGCAAATATCAGTGAAAAAGTTTAAGCAATGATGATTGAACTTTGCTTCCTTACTATCTTTAGGACGTTTAGTTGTTGATAATACTAGGCTCCAGAGGTATTTGAAACTGTCCATTAAAGTTTTCCTTAATTTGTTATTTTTAAAATTTGTAGTTTAAATGATAATTATTTGTATTATTCGATGATATATGAGGGGAGTAGTCATTTACTCATCCTTACTGCGTTGTTATATATGTGGGCATTCTTGTTATCTTCCTTATTTCTAGACTGAATTGAAAAACTAACAACTTAGCTTACGCGTTGCTTCTGTGCGCTCTCTAATACCAACTTCTCCGTTTTCTTCGATGTGGTATTTCTCTGAACCTGTATTTCTTTACACTTTCTTTCACTGCATGTTTCACGGAAGTTATGGCATGTGATGCCGAAATATTCTCTCATACATACGTTTTGTAAGTATATGTTTGCCGGTTTTGTAGTTTTGAATTTCGTACAAACGCCTCACTATTTGATCATATTTCCTTGTTTTTCTGATTTGGAATTTTGGCAGTTATGAAAGTTCGGGTGTAATGTTCGTAAATTTTTGCAGTAATTACTGCGGTAACCTTTTGTTTTTGATTACTTTGTATAGTTGTGAATTTATGAAAAGGAAATGAATAAAAAGCATATATTATAAAGTGAATTATTATATTAAAGAGATATGCAAATCCACTGTAATATTTCCTATGAAGAAATAGAGTAGGAGTTCGATGAATTATGCTACACTTGAGCATTTGTAATTTTCTTAAAATTCTTTTTTCCTGATTTTGTACAGAATAACGGTTATCCTAAGTTCGCTTGCATTGTTTTTCATTTAAATTGACATTTCTAAATCGCCGGCTTGATGTGGATCATCTTCGATTGAACTCTTCATTTGCTATTTAGTGGTGATGAATTAGGTAAATACGTCATTAATCTAGCCATCTTTTGAATATGTAAGTTCACAGATTAGTTTTAGGTGTGTTAAAGATTTGTCAGAAAAGCGAACAATACAAACATCACTTCATATTGTTTTCTTGAAAAAATGAAACGTAAGGGAGATGATACGTTGGAGCAAATTGATCGGAAACGTGAAAAACGGCGATTAATATGTATGCAAATCGATGATTACATTGAGGAGATCAAGTTATCCAATGTAGAAAGGTGTAAACTGGAAACGTTAGCTGAGTCCGTCAAGAGTGCTATTTATGCAGCCAAGGAAGCGAAAGTTGCTCATCAGGTTAATTACCTTATGCATGTTTCCAGTTATAGATTGTGAAGTAAGTGCGACCCAGTAAATAACGCATGATATTTTCTGTCAGTCATTGCAAAGCTTTGTTATTTGTGACAAAATTTTTTTTAGTGAATTTGAAGTTTAGATCTTACCAGAGCTAAGAGTATTCTCTTATATCATTTGCGTTTATCTCATTTTTGAATATTTCAGGTAAACGATTTGCAAAAACTGCATTTAGGCAATATTCGTTTTCCACTCTTGTTACCATTTGATCTACAATTAAGTAATATCAAATCTTCGTGTGGCTGTCGTTGGGTCCATCCGGTTAAAATTAACATTTTGGGCAGTTGGCGTCTCGGTTATCAGACCAAATTAGAACCAGTTTTGGATCTCATCATTATAATACCTCAGGTTCTTATGCTTTTTTGTTTTTTTTTTATATGATTTTTACCTTAGTTACTGTTTTTTTCCAGTCATTTAAAAAATTGCTTCTATGTTGTCGAACATTCTAGGATTATTTTGGGTCGCGCGATTACCTTAATTTTACATATTTTGTCAAACGTGCTCACTATATTTGTCGAGTAGCACGAATTTTAATAAAAGCAGGGATGTCGGTGAAATTTGGATTGGATCACTTCGATACATTGAAACCGTTATTGTTTGTCTTAAACGAAGACGGTATCTTTTTCCTTTTATTAACTGTGATTATTACTTTTACGCCGAGAAAACGAAAAGAACTTATCCGTTTTTTTTTTTGGAAGATAACTTCAAAATAACTTCTTTTTATCGTTACTAATCGGGAGTCATTTCATTCTAGGACTTGAAAGCAGTGGATACTTGCGGATTCACTTTGTACCGCCGCGGGAATTCACGAAGATTTCTCGATTTCGTCCAGAAAACAATAACTTGAGACCTTCTTTCTGTTCCGCCCATTTCGGATCTCTCGGTCAGTAAGTACTGTTTGTTTTTAAAATTCACTTTTAATCGAATTTAATAAGGATGAGACGGATAAAAAATACAATAAAATAAAAGAGGAAGTAGAAGATCAGCATTTCATGATGCTGATCACGAAATATGCTTTTTTAGGATGTAAAGCCTACTGTTGAGACATAAAGTATCTATTCATTCATTGATTTAGTATTCATTTATTATTTCCAAAATAATGAATGAGAACTATTTCAGGTATCGATACCCCTACATCGGTGTATAATTCAAAAATATTAATTGATATGCTACGCGAAGAAATTGAATCCAGGTATGAAAAATTTTTCTGCCAAAAACCGAACTTTTTGAAATCTTTTATCATGATACGATCGTGGATGCTTCAAAGAGGTTTCATCCAGGTATTCCTTTAATCTCGTAGCATAAATAAGCAATATTTGTTTCAAACCCAATTACTTTGCCTGCTTCGATCTAAGAACATTCGTGTTCTATAAATAGTTCTTTTATTTTTTATCTTTTTTTGATTGTCGAGATGTATTTTAATTCCAAAATCATTATATATTCGAGATCAGAAAGATTTTGAATTATTTCTGAAAAAAATGGATCTATTTTGCTCCTCAAAATATTTATATAAAGATTTTAGAGAGTTGATGGCTTTTCGGATTTGCTATTAGCAGCTTGGTTTATATACATTAACATTCAAGAAGCTTCTTTTATTCAAGCATCTGTTTTCGACATTATCGTAGGATTCTTTTCCTCTATAAGTGAGTTTACTATTTGATCGTCTCTTGAATAAGTTTCGATAGGAACAGGTCAAATATATTGTTTTGAAACATATTCTCATTTGTTTTTATAGTATATCTGTAAGAATTAATTTTAAACAGATTAACCTGAATTTATATGTATAAAATGGTAAGTTTCAGTATCGACAAATTGGAAAGAATCTCGTTTGGGTTTATGTGATAATGATGCGTTATATTCACAGTTCTCATCATACTTCGATTTTGTGTTCCTCGATCATACAGGATATCTCAATTTGGCCGCATCTTTGAGCATTACTGCTATGGAGCAGATTCGTGTTGCTGCAACTGATGCTATAACCAAGATTAATACCTTCAGTGAATTTGATCATCTTTTTGTGAAAAGTCATCCTTTTATTAAAGCTTTTGACCAATATATCAGGTATTATATTCGAAGAAATTTGTTTTTATATTCCTGCATTTCGAGTCCAACATTTTATAAGGATGTTTAAAGAATTTTTTTTTAAGGATACGATTACCTCAGTCATATCTACAAAATACTTTCCAAAAAATGTGTACTGCAGAGTGCCTAAGCACTTGTAACGACCTATTGCTTATATTCAAACGCAGGCTAATTCCATTGCTGAAAGAAGCTTTATCGGATAGGGTTGTGAATTTCGATTTATTTACACCAAATCAACCAGTCGGATTGGTAGGTTTATCAGTTCTAGTGGTATACTTATGATATTTTAATTTATTGGAATAATTTATTGGCACATGGTACACCAGCTATTGAGCTATCGAGTAAGATATTTTATTAAAAACCATTTTTGGATAATAGCATAATCCTTGGTTCAGTGGGACATATATATGGAAAGAGAGAAATGTACTATGAATGAGGAGATCGTGCTGCTAATTGGGCTTCGACTTTCGACGAAATGGAATAATTTATTGACACGTGGTCCACCAGCTAAATCATCAGATGCGGTGCATTTCCGTCAGTTTTGGGGTGATATATGTGAATTGCGCAAGTTTCCTGATAATGCAATTTGTGAAGCAGTTGTCTGGGGTTCCAATAATGTGACTTTGCTCCTTTGCCAACATATTCTTCAGAGGTAGATTTTTTGTATAATTTTTGGTCGTGTTATAATTTCTTCAGGTAGTTTTGTACCTTCTCGGCATTGTCATTATTAAGAAAAAGTTTCATTTTTTTTGATTAGCTCCTTAAATTACACTTTGTACAAAACTGTAATGTGCCATTGATAGTGAAATATATTGTATATCATTTTAGGCATTTGAAATTAGAAGCATGTAATGTGGAAGAACGAACGTTAAATATGGAAGAGATTTTGCCCAATGCAAAGGACAGGTACAGTACAATTGGAAGAGCTTACGATAAATTATCCCAAATACTTCGAATGGTGCAAGATTTGCCTCTTCTTATCACAAATATCCATCCTGTATCCGCTTATCTAAGACGAACTGCGGTATTATTCATTTATTTTTTCATTGGTGGTAAAGTCTTTTTTCTATTTTATTGGAATTTATTTCCATCACTCGAATAATGGTATCAGCTCGTGTTGGATTGGTATATTGACTTCATTGTGTCAAGATTTTAGTGTTTTTCTGGTCTAAGTAGCTCTATACCGATATTCCTAAAAGTTTACGGCTATAAATTTTAATTACATTTCATTATTTCGATAATACACTTGTGAGTCGAATGTTAAATTCAAGCTTGTAGTTTATCTAAGTCTCCATATTTCACGTTATAATAAGAATAATTCCATATATTATTATGTATTCACACGTGCCGCCTATTTCATTTTTAACAGAGCATAGCTAAGTAATTTTATGTTATATTTTTTACAAAAATGCTTTTGCAGCCTTTCCCGCCTCTTTCTACTAATGCAGTAATCGAAAGATACAGCTCCTTCGTGAAAGGTTCTATAGCACTTCCAATGTCACATATCTCACCTCCTTATTTGCCTACTGTAGAAGGTTTATATTTTCTGTGAATAAATAATATTTTCATTTAATTTTGAGACGTTATTTTCTTTCAATGCATTACTTTTTCGAAAGAGCAGAAATTGGCACATTCGCTTAGTTTTTTACCAGTCTTTTGATTGATGCTGCATACAGTGCAAATAACGATGGAGCAAAGTGGAAAATGGGGTGATGAACTGGGAGCTATTGCTCGATTGAAAACTGCCTTTTACATCGAACTGTCAAAAATATTGAAGGAGAAACATTCATTGCAAGCTATTCCCTTCGACGATTATTTAATTGTTCATTTTGTAAGTGTAATTTCATCGTTAAGCTAATTAACGCTGCTTAAGAGCAAGAAAGAGGCAACTTTCAATTGTGTATATGTTTTCAGAATACTGTTGTATTTCGTTTACTAATAGCCTATCCGAGGGAAGTGTATTTAATGAGGAAATTAAACGGTGGCAATACTGGTATTATAAAGGATAGTCCAGCATCGAAGTTGAAAGAGCTCGAGGTAATACTAGAGCCACAACTTACTGCATTATTGCACAGGTAAGTATGATAATTTCAGATTTAATCGATTGTACTTTGACTTTTATACAGGAAGATGGAAATAATCATTTTTCGGCGTATTTCTGAGAAGACTGTTGTGTACATGGCAAAGCCACAGTTTATAATTCTGGATAGATAATTTTGGACGTTCAAGGTGGAGAAAATTTAGAGCATTATTTTTGACAACTAATTGGCTTCTCGGTTATATCGCACTGAAAGTGAGATAACCTATCCTGGTATATCTTGAAT